AAAAAAGTAATTTAAAGCAGTTTAACATAAGGCTGCAACATAACAAAATGTGAAATAAATGAAGGGGTATGAATACTTTCGCAAGGCACTGTATATATATATATATATATATATATATAATTTTAGGTCACACTTTAGTATAGGGACCAATTGTCACTATTAACTAGCTGCTTATTAGCATGCCTATTATTAACCTATTGGCTGTTTACTAGTATTATAAAGCACATATTCTGCATGACCTACATCTTTAATCCTACTCAATACCTAAACCTAACAACTGCATTACTAACTATTAATAAGCAGCAAATTAGGAGTTTATTGAAGCAAAAGTGAGCGAGAATTAGACCTTAAAATAAAAGTGTGACCAAATTTTACTACCCAGAAAGGTAGCAAGAACACGTTAAAATAGTCCATGTGACATCAGTGGTTCAACCTTCATTTTATGAAGCTATGAGAATACTTTTTGTGTACAAAATAAACAAAAATAATGAATTTATTCAACAATTTCTTATCTTCTGTGCCAGTCTCTGCTGCATGTTCTCATGAGTAAAACGATGCATGTGTTTGCATTCCTCTGCTTGCAAACAAGGCACAGCAAATCCAGGTTCTACGTCAGAACGCCAGCTCCTGTGTTAGCAGCACCATGTGTTGTGATACTCTCCTGAACGCGCGTTAATTGACAAGGATAAGAAGAAATTATTGAAAAAAAAGTCATTATCTTTGCGTGCAAAAAGTATTTTGTAGCTTGTAGCATTCTCGTAGCTTGGTAAATCATAATTATGAAATAAATGTCATATTTAAGTTTAAATTTTGACATAGAAAGTCATAATTAACACAGAAAATCAAAATTATGAGATACTGTGTCATATAAGTTGAAAGTTATTACAAAAAATTTTAATTATGAGATAAACATCAAAATTGTAAAAAAGCTGAAATTATGAGATACTAAGTCACAATTATGAGAAATTACAAATTATTACAAGTTTAAATCATGGCATAAAAGCCATAGTTATGAAAAATTATGCAGTTATGAAATAAAAATAATAATTGACAAAAGTCTAAATTATGTAAAAATTGTAATAATGAGATACTAAATTTTAACTGTGATAAAATGGAATTATGGCAATAAACGGTTTAAACTGATTAAAATTAAAATTACCATGTCAAAATTATAAGATAAATTTAAATTATGACAAGTTTAAATTATGACATAAAAGTCAAAATTATGACAAAAAAAAATCATCATGACAAAAAGTCAAAATTATGAGATACTAAGAAATTATGAGATAGAAAGTCAAAATTATGATACAAACATTTGAAAATATGAGTTCAAAATAACTAAGTGTGACATACATCTGAAATGGTGAAAGACAGTATATGACTCTCTCTCCCAGTGTTGTGTTGAGAGCAGACAGTGTTGAGTAAAATAATAACTCAACTGAAGTATAGTTTTTTGACATATTGAACTTTTGTCAAGACTTTTCAGCACATTACACATTACACAACGATGACATATGCATTGTTTGTGCATGTTTGTGGGGCTTGTGCGCATATATTTGCATATAACTTTACATGGAGGATCTGTCATGAAGAAATCCTGCCAGCATTGGCAATGCATCACACACACACAGCCGCATGAGTCTGGAGCGTGTGAAGATGATGATGAAATTGTCAGTTTATAGCAAATGATCTGATGAAGGACTGGACTGAACAAACTGATGATTAATGCCACAGAAGTTCTACACAATGACCATACAACCTAAGAAAAAGATTGAATTCAAAGAGAAAATCAATTATTTATCTTGCCTCTTTGGTGGATATTCTTTTCTTTTTTTTTTCTGCAAGACTCACTTAATTTTTATGTTTTTTCATAAAACAAGACTTAACATCTTATGTCATCTTGATTCTTAAGGAAGAACACTTGAACACTTAAGAATGTTTAGATATTTGTTTAGATATATCACTGTTACCGATTCTCATAATGGTGAGAGAATTTAAGATTAAAGCTTTTAGCTAAATTTTATGTTTTAACACTAAAGCAATGGGTGGGGGGAGGGTTTCCAGGACAGTTTTAATGTCACATGTCCTGTTCAGCATGTCAGTATTTGAAATATTTGCTCTCACTGAAGCTGACAGTCTTTGCTGTGAATGACTTAACTAGTCTGCCCTCTGCTGGAGAATGCATGTGAACAGATCGCAAACATGGATAATGCATGGAAATGCTTTATTTTCAGGCTTGTGCCTAAATAATCTTGAAAACAAGTCAATGAATCAAGTCAGATTTCACAGTGATATTAAAAAAAATTATTAGAAAGCAATTATTTCTAAATGTGTTTCAACCATTAGTGCAGCACTTCATGAGGGTTCACACTCATTTCTAAATGTGTTTCAAACATTAGTGCAGCCCTTCATGAGGGTTCACAATCATTTCTAAATGTGTTTCAAGCATTAGTGCAGCACTTCATCAGGGTTCACAATCATTTCTAAAGGTGTGTGACTCTAAGATGCTTGAACATTGATGGTCTTGAATCCGTGCAGGACGGTGGGAGGATTCTCCAACACTAAGCTAGCAGAAAGCATCTTGGCACCCACCATCCTCGGAGTGAAATTGACGGGCTTTTTCATAGTTTCTCGAGGCTGAATCGTAAGCCTGAAATATAAAACACAGAACGTTTAGAACAAAAACAGGCAAGCATCACTTTTACTGTTACAAGCATCACTGTTACTGCTGCTCATGTTTAGGTTTAGTGATTTACACAAGAGTTTAAAGTGTATATCATGGTGTAAATCTGGAGGTTTAACACACAAAAGAACTCACATGAGTTTTTGTGATATGCATATGATTACAGAAGTGCGTCAGAAATGCTGACTAACAAGTGTGTACTGACACTTCTAATAGACACTGTAGCAGTGAAACTGATGTCAAAGATAATCATGTCAAAAATCTCAGAAACAACCGCTCCCACTGATTGAAAACTGTATGAACTTGACTGTTTGACGCCCATCAGAATCACTCATCAGGCATGTGAACTAAATTTATTATGGGATCTATTTTAAACCGTGTAAGATTCTTCCCAGGTGAAAGAATTTCACTTCCATAATATACTTAAAGTGCTCTATTTTCGCACATTAATTAAAAAAAATAGAGCACTTTAAGTACATTATGGAAGTGTACTTTTTTTTAACCTGGGTTTCTGTTATTTTGTTAATCACTTTTTAGTGACAGTGATGTATAATGTGGCTTTATTGTAGTAAAAAACTGGATTCACTATAGTATGGATTAAATATCAGGGTACTGTGTGTCATTTTTTGGATGTTAAAATACTTTCTCTCATACTGTACAAGCTAATGATGCAGAATCAAAGATTGATTTTTTATTGGAAATTATAACAGTGCACTCTAAAAAATGCTGGGTTAAATACAACCCAGTGGGCGGTGCTTTATGTTTGCTGACCAATGGCAAACCAGTATTTGGGAAAATCTGTTTGAAAAAAGTCATTTGTGTGATTCATTTGTTGATGCTCAGAAAAGAGCTGTAAAGACTAAAAGGACACACTTTACGCACCTCATTTGAGCTTTCTCCTCCAAGAGTCCTGAACCGGATACGGTCAGTTCTCCGCTCACTGCAACACTGAACGGGTTCGTGAAGATCACCGTGGCCACTTGTGGCGTGTTAATGATGACCGAGAACTCATTTTGAATCTAGAAGAAAAAACAATTTGCTTTAGTTCTTTTCTACTTGTGAATTTAGTTATGCAAAAACATAACCCTTTATATGTATAATGCATTATAAAATGTTGTAATGCATTATATGTTTTCTTAAATACTTATAACCACAGTTAAAAAGCTTTATATTTTCTCAAGGTGTAACAATGACTAGATAAGTATTATAATATTTTATATCTGTGGTTACAGTTATTCATGAGATCATGCAATGCATTATAAGGTGCATTGCAAAGTATAATTAATGCATTAAAATACTTTTATAATGCATTATAGATAAAGGCTTCAAGTTAATTCTCCAACATAATATCTATGATCTTGGAGTGATGCAGGTATTTACTGTGTAGATAATAAAAAACATCTGAAAATGGTTTAAATTTGTCACAAAAAAATTCTTGTTTCTTACATAAAGGGGGTCAAGCGTAGAAGAGTTCATGTTTCTTTTAAAGCTAGTATAAATGTCCATGTTGGGCCAGCATATACCTGTATATTGAGGGAAGGGCTGCGGATGTTGAACTCCTCTGAAGCCAGCACTCTCTCCTGAGACTTCACATCCTCAATAACCACAGCCAGGTTAACCAGAGAATCCTCCGCAGCCTCCGTCAGCATGTAGTCGTTGAAGGAGATCTCATGTTGTATAGTCACAGCTGGTGGAGTACAAGAAACAGGATTCAGTCATGTGACCTCGCAATTCCTATTGAATCATTTCGCCATGTTTTGTGTTATTCGAAACCATGTGGTCCAGATGTTTTTACAAGACTTGAAAGTAAAAGAATTTCGTTTTGCATACCGGTTGTGTTCAATGTAATACTATACTGCCTTATACTAAATAAACAGTATGCAGTGTGCATTCCATGATAAACATTTCAGACAGTAGTATGCTACATTAGGGTCACATAGTGAGTGGTGTCCAGTCTTCATCGTAAAAAATACGTTTTTTTTTTTTTTATTTGAATTTAAATTTCTGTAAATATTTTTGGCAGTCTGATGAAATAATGAGTAAAATATTGTGATTAACTTGGGTGCACTGCATTTCGGGGTTTTGGCCTGTTTTGCCATAAGATAAAGACTGTACATTTTAATCATGTATATCTACTGAAAGCAACATTTGTCAGCATACAATAGTAAATACATGTTAGCATCAGTGCAAAGTATAATTAATGCATTAAAATACTTTTATAATGCATTATAGATAAAGGCTTCAAGTTAATTCTCCAACATAATATCTATGATCTTGGAGTGATGCATGTATTTACTGTGTAGATAATAAAAAACATCTGAAAATGGTTTAAATTTGTCACAAAACAATTCTTGTTTCTAATATAAAGGGGGTCAAGCGTAGAAGAGTTCATGTTTCTTTTAAAGCTAGTATAAATGTCCATGTTGGGCCAGCATATACCTGTATATTGAGGGAAGGGCTGCGGATGTTGAACTCCTCTGAAGCCAGCACTCTCTCCTGAGACTTCACATCCTCAATAACCACAGCCAGGTTAACCAGAGAATCCTCCGCAGCCTCCGTCAGCATGTAGTCGTTGAAGGAGATCTCATGTTGTATAGTCACAGCTGGTGGAGTACAAGAAACAGGATTCAGTCATGTGACCTCGCAATTCCTATTGAATCATTTCGCCATGTTTTGTGTTATTCGAAACCATGTGGTCCAGATGTTTTTACAAGACTTGAAAGTAAAAGAATTTCGTTTTGCATACCGGTTGTGTTCAATGTAATACTATACTGCCTTATACTAAACAGTATGCAGTGTGCATTCCATGATAAACATTTCAGACAGTAGTATGCTACATTAGGGTCACATAGTGAGTGGTGTCCAGTCTTCATCGTAAAAAATACGTTTTTTTTTTTTTTATTTGAATTTAAATTTCTGTAAATATTTTTGGCAGTCTGATGAAATAATGAGTAAAATATTGTGATTAACTTGGGTGCACTGCATTTCGGGGTTTTGGCCTGTTTTGCCATAAGATAAAGACTGTACATTTTAATCATGTATATCTACTGAAAGCAACATTTGTCAGCATACAATAGTAAATACATGTTAGCATCAGTTTAGATTTTATGGATTTAAATCCATTCATTTGAACCCAAATCATCAGTCTGTCACTTTTTTTAATTATGTTTTGCTACTTTTTAAGGCTTTATTTTTTAAATAGCTAAATGTGTCTGGCTGCACTGATTAAAAAATGTTTTTTCTTCCAAACCAACATTAGAGAATCATGATCAGATGGATTGTAATGCTGCCTGAAAAAACTAATCGTGATATTTCTGCCATTTCATTTACAGTACCCCTACAGCAGAATACATGTGTAAAACACTTACAGGTTGTGATTTTTTATTTTTTGGTTATAAATACATTTGAGACTCATTTAAAGCCATTTTTGCAGGATTCTTACTTTCATTCGGGCCCATCTTCACGTCGTCATGAGCCTCCCAGAAGGTTCCAGTGGGATTGCGGTTGTACTCCTTGTTCTGAGCGTTCACATGTTTTCTCAGAAGTTTCGGAGCGGCCTCATTGTTAGTGATTATGACGATGAAAGAAATGTTTTCTCCGACTACAGGGGGTTTCAGAAGCTGAACTGCATGAAAAGACATGATAGATCATTGCATTTAGTCATATTACTCAAACAAAGAAAGAGCAGTGTTTATGAGGAAAAGAAAAAGAAATGCTAGAACTTACCCACGATTTCCATAGCACTTTGAGGTTGACAACTGAAATGAACGTTTCTTCCAGCAGCTTAGATGAATAACAAAAAAGTATTCAGATGAAAATCATAATAAATATTTACATAAAAATATTCTCAAAATGGATTTAGTTGACACTGAGTTAATTTAACAGTTTGACATGCATGTCATTTTTTGTTAAAAAGTGTTCAAAACACCTGCACTACAATTTCTTTTTTTTTTTTAAGTTGTAAGCAAACAAAGACTACTGAAGTGTGTTTTACAAGAAAGTACTATTTTAATCTTACAACTTCTAAATTTCACCTTTAATTCATTGTTTTAATTGCCATTTCCTTGTAATTATGTGAGAAATTTACTTAAGGAACACAGTGTCAATGTAATCCTACACCAAAAACTTTTCATTGTCTTTAACAACAACTATTCATTTTTTTTTTCCAGTGATGCTGAAACTAGTCAAATTAATTACACAATTTTCAGCTTTAAACATTAGAAAGCTAGAATGACTTACCAGCAGCGAATGATGCACGAGAAGTGTTTTCATCTAAATGTAAAAGAATGAGATTTTTGTATGAAACACATTTTAACAGTAATAATAATAATAATAATAATAATAAAACTTTATTTATATAGCACCTTTCAAACATAAAATGTGACTCAAAGTGCTTTACATAATTAAGAATACACAGTTAAATAAGCAACAACATTACATCCAATAAAACAAATACACCAAGCATAAACATTACAAAAAAATACCTACAGTACACACAACACATTCTTTAAAAAACAAACGTACATTTACAAAGTAAACTAACTGAAAGCCAAGATAAAAAAAAAAAAATACTAAGTGTACTAGCTTCCCTAATATCTGATGGTAATTTATTCCATAATTTTGGAACATAATTTACGAAGGATGCATCACCAATTTTTTTTTTTTCCCTTCTAGAACTGGGAACCTCCAATAAACCTGTATTAAATGATCTTAAAGCAGCACTATGTAACTTTTTCTGTGTTCAAAATTTGCTAAATGTATATAATGAGCGAGTACATCATGAATTCATCTTCCAAACCGCGTTTTTGTCTTATTCCGAATCACTACGATACACTTATAATAAAGAAGTACTTATATTTGGACTATTGTAGCCTGGTCGGGTCGTCACCGCTGCGGAGTAACACATACCTGCGTGAATCGCCATAGACAAACACTTAGAGAAGTAGATCCGGTTGGAATGTTCTTCCGCGGGATGTGTGCAGTTCTGTTTATTAACCGCTAGAGCGCCAAAAGTTACATAGTGCTGCTTTAAAGTTCTGGAGTATAATTAACAAGAGAACTGGTAATGTAATTAGGTCCTTGCCCATTACAGGCTTTATACGTAATAAGCAGGACTTTATAATCTATTCTAAATTTTATAGGAAGCCAATTATTGACTGATATATAAGGCAGGATGTGATGGAGTTAATAGCCACAGTGTAATTTTGGCTCAGCAGAAATGTATAGCTGTGTATCATCAGCATAACTATGAAAACTTACATCATTTTCTCTGATGATGTCTCCAAGTGGCAGCATATACAGTATAATGAAAATAATAAAGGGCCAAGACAGCTTCCTTGTGGGACTCCATAATGGGATTTATGTTTCTCAGACACATAATCTCCAAGTTGAACAGAGAAATTTCTCCCCTTAATATAAGTTTTAAACCAATTTCATACATTATCAGAAAGACCTACCAATTTTTCCAAATGATTTATTAAAATGTCATTTGTGTCAAACGCTACACTCAAATCTAAACGAACAGGAATTGAAACTTTATTTTTACTGGAATTAACTGTAAAATCATTTGTTATTTTTATAAGAGCAGTTTCGGTACTGTGGTACTTTCTATAGCCAGACTGAAACAGTATGTTTTTGTCTTTTTTTATCACTCTTTCTCTTACCCTCCTCAGTTTTGTATTCAGACGTGATGTCCTGCATACGCATGGATCCTGGGTGTTTGGTGGAGATCAGGGTTCCAACTCTGCGTTTATCGATGCTGGTTGATAATACCATCCCATTTCTGACGATCATTGTACGCACATCCGCGTTCACTTCTGCGTAAACGAACGGCACATCGTACTGTGCATCCACCTTCCGCTCATAAATGGCTTTAACAGCAGCAGGGCCACAGCGGAACATTCCTGTGACAGAATATTGATGTTTAAGCATGATTATCATTAAAATCCCAGCTCAAAAACTAGCATGCTTTGGAGGAAATTAATAGCATGCTATCTAGGTAGCTCACTAGTTTTTTATATACGTTAACCTTGTAAAAATCACTGTAATGACAGACCTGTGCTCTTCTCTTGTGGCGTGGGGTCGAGAACCTGCCATCCGTCATAACCTCGACCCAGATCAGGCCTCTTCATCCAACTCTCCACCCACACGTGGAAGTTCCTGAAAAAAGGCCAAACACTTTTAGCTCACATTCTGACAGATTACAAATCCTGAAACAATGAATCATTCCTTTCCACCGCAATCAGTTCAGGTTTATTTGTATACCGTAGCCTAATGATGGTGCAGACACCTTTACTGAAGTATAAGGAAAAGCATTAAAGGACTATAAATTAAAAACATTTTTAAAAGTTTATTTTTTTAAATATTATTTTTATTGAGCAAGGATGTATTCAACCAATCAAAAGTGACAGTAAAAACATTTTGTAATGTTACAAAAGTGTTCTACTTCAAATAAATGCTGTTCTTTTGAACTTTCTGTTCATAAAAGAATCCTGGGGGAAAGAAAATGTATCACAGTTTCCACAAAAATATTGGGCAGCACAACTGTTTTCAACATTGATAATAATCAGAAATGATTCTTGAGCAGCAAATCAGCATATTAGAATGATTTCTGAAGGATCATGTGACACTGAAGACTGGAGTAATGATGCTGAAAATTCAGCTTTGCATCACAGGAATAAATTACATTTTACATTCATATTCACATATTAAAAAGTTATGTGATAGTTTACTATTTTTACTGTATTTTTGATCAAATAAATGCAGCCTTGGTGAGCAGAAAAGGCTTCTTTTAAAAACATGAAAAATCTCACCAACGCCAAACTTCAGAACAGTAATGTATGTTTTAGCACTATAACTACACTTTTTAGACTTCTAGGCTTTTTAGTGTTACTCACCAGATGCTATCCCTGCTGAAGGACAGCTTTTTCCCCATCTCATCGTAATATTCCTCGATCACCATATTTCCATCTGTGTCGTGAGCGGAGTTGAAGTTGGTGACGACTCGAGTCGGAATGCCAAGGGCTCTCATTACTATCACACAAACAAACACTTTTGATATTAATCATCAGTAGTACCAACGGCCAATGAAATTAATACTTAATACACACTCCCATGCTGTTTCAACCACATTATTTTCGTTCAACCCACGAAACACAAAAGGAAAACACACACACACTACCATTTAAGAGTTTGGGGTCGGTAAGATTTTTTGAAAACAATTTTTTTAAAGAAATCTTTTATGCTCACCATTTATTTGATCAAAAATACAATACAAAACAATAATATTGTGAAATATTATTACAATTTAAAATATGTTTTCTATATAAATGTATTGTAAAAAATAATTTATTCCTGTGATCAAAGCTGAATTTTCAGCATCATTACTCCAGTCTTCAGTGTTACACGATCCTTCAGCAATCATTTTAATTTGCTGATTTGATGCTCAAGAAACATTTATGATTACATAGAAACTTTGAACTTATAGAAAGTTCAAAAGAACACTATTTATGTGAAATCTAAATATTTTTTAGTATTAGAAATGTTGTTACTTCAGTTTTTGATCAATTTAATGTCTGAATAAAAGTATTAATTTCTTTAAAAAAAATTGCTCTGACCCCAAACTTTTGAATGTAATGACTTCTATTTGTCCCACCTGTACACATGACAGCAGCAAACACCCAGCACTGTCCGTATTTCACAGGATTGAATTGTGTTTCTGCCCACTTCCTGAGAATATCTGCGCTGCCGGACCACTGTGAAGGGCTGACACCACCGCTGTAGTCATTTGACCAGTTTCCCATTAACACTCCTTTATCATCATTAGAGTTCACCTGTTTAGAAAGACAGAGAGTCTATATTAATACATGGAGAGAGAGAGAGAGAGAGAGAGAGCAGAGAGGAGAGAATGAGAGCAGATCCTCACCATCGCTGAGATCACGCGGCTGATGTAAACCGGATTGTTGCGGTTCTGCAGATCTTTACCTATATCCGCTTGATGTTGAGGACTCAGCTGCAGCAATTGCATGCAGATGTCCAGTATCCCTTTTTCATACTGAAAACACATGTATGCATAGCAGGAGTTAATGTGAAGCTATTTTTCAGTGCTGAGCTGTCAGTCAATGGTCAAACATCTCACCTGATCAAACGACCAGGGATTGGGGACGATGTTACGTGGGCTGCCTTTAAACAGCAGGCCGATATCACTCCTGACATATTCAGTCCTCAGATCCTCCGACTGCAGGAACACTGAATCAGCTGCAGAAAATCACCATAATTTGTTTTGTAATCTGTGTGTAATTGCAATAAATGGAGGTAGTAAGTTATAAGAGGCTATGCATTACTGTGATTTTAAAGGTGTATAAAATGGCAGCAAAAGCAATACAATGAAAGACACGACCTACTTTTTAAAAGACTGTTTGATTGTTTTTGATAAAAAATAAAAATCTTTTATTCAGCAAGGATGCTTTAAACTGATCAAAAGTGACAGTAAAGACATTTATAATGTTACAAAAGATTTCCATTTCAAATAAATGTTCTATTCATCAAAGAATCCTGAAAAATAAAATGTACCACTGTTTCCACAAAAAAAAAGCAGCACAACTGTTTTCAACATTGATAATAATCAGAAATGTTTCCTGAGCAGAAACTCAGCAAATTAGAATGATTTCTGAAGGATCATGTGACACTGGAGTAATGATGATGAAAATTCAACATTGATCTCAGAAATAAATTACATTTTAAAATGTATTAAAATGGAAAATAGTTATCTTAATGGAACATAATGGCACATAAGGGAACAGTATTACAATTTTTACTGTATTTTTAATTAAATAAATACAGCCTTGTTGACGAGAAGAGACTAATTTCAAAAACATTAAAACATATTGCCAACCCCAAACTTTTAAAAGGTAGTGTACTGTACATAAGGTAATATTCTCAATAAATAAAATTTGGATGTAATATATTTAAGTAATGACATTTACATTTTTTCATTTAGCAGAAGCAATTGAAACCAACTAAAGAGCAAGAATATGCAAGTGCTATAACAAGTCTCGGTTAGCCTAACGCAGTACACATAGAAAGGATATATATATATATATATATATATATATACACACACACACACACACACACACACACACACACACACACACATACATAAAAAAAAAAAAAAAAAAAAAAAAATCATAAAACCTAAACTAAAATTAAAACTGATTTTAATTTTGATTAATAAATACTGTGATGGTGCTTAAATAATACTAAACCAACACTGACCTGGTCATATTTTACCCCAAAATCAATAATACCTTATTAATAGTCCAAAATAATACTGTTAGAGGCCTTTTTTGTTGTTGTTGTTGTTGTTGTTTTTAAATAAAACAAGCAGATAGAAAATGAATAGAGAGTGCAAGTGTTAGAGGGTCAAGTATTTAAAAAAACAAAAAACAAATAGATTAAATAGAATTAGAATAGAGAATGCTAGAGTTAGAGGGTCAAATAAAGATGGAAGAGATTTTCTGAATTAATTGTAGAGGTTTGATAGGACTGTTTGGAAGACCTGCCAAGAGAGCATTGCAATAGTTCAGTTTGGACAGAACAAGAGCTTGAACAAGGAGTTGTGAAGCATGTTTCAAAAGAAAGGGCCTGATCTTCCTAATGTTGTATAAAGCAAATCTGCAGGACCGGACAGTTTAGCAATGAGGTCTGAGAAATTTAGCTGATCATCAATCACAACTCCAAGGTTTCTGGCTGTTTTTGAAGGAGTTATGGTTGATGTGCCTAGCTGGATGGTGAAATTGTGATGATGTGATGGGTTTGTTGAAACCACAAGCAGTTCTGTCTTGGCAAGGTGAAGGTGATGGTCCTTCATCCAGAAATGTCTGTTAGACATGCTGAGATGCAAGCAGCTATTGTCGGATCATCACGATGGAATGAGAGGTAGAGTTGAGTGTCATCAGCATAAAAGTGATATGAAAAGCCATGTTTCTGAATGACAGAACCTAGTGATGCCATGTAGACAGAGAAGAGAAGTGGTCCAAGAACTGAGCCCTGAGGCACCCCAGTAGCTAGATGATGTGACTTGGACACCTCACCCCTCCAAGATACCCTGAAGGACCTATCTGAGTCTTACAAACATGAATGATTTCTCAAATAATGTCTCCAGATAAGACGAGTTGTTTCTTCATTTACATTTCTAAGCAATGAGACTTAATGTAGAGTGATTTGGACTAGCAAGTAACTAGCAACCACAAAGCAACATGCTAAAAACTCGTGCCTACTAAGGCATTCAGTTTTAGACAAACAGACAGCACTCACCTGGGCACCAGGGGTTGCAGAGGAGCGTGAACTGGCAGAGAAAGTGTGTTTTCACACTCAGGCGGGTCTTGATTCTCATCTGAAGCGTGTATGCGCCAATAGAAGCAGACGCAGGGCTGGACAGTGATACTGAAAATGCACGGGGTCCAGTTGGGTTCAGTACGCACCTCTCCAGAACCGCGGTCCACTGAGTCAGAGAGGGCTGTCCGGACACAGAGACCGGAACCTCCACATACACCGGACCTGCGGTGAGGAGAAAAGTGTGGATGTCAGGATAGAGCACAAAAATATGGTTCTGGAATGAATTTTCTCCACAGAGTAACTGATTGTAAGTTTTCATGTATTTTACCAATTACCAAATATCTAACAATTAGTTAAATAAAACTAAAATCATTAAAAAATCTAATTATTTTAAATAAAATACAAAAATACTTATAGACATTTTATGTCAGCTAGTTGCTTAGGCAAAATTTATTATTTAGTTTAACTTGATGTAATAAAATATCTAAAATTAAATGTTACTATGTTAGTATTTATGATGTTTATCTTGAATATTCAGTCACCATTAATGTACTGTTTTAAGTCTTTTTTTAACTTATTTTAGCCTGCTAATGTTTTTTTTTTCCTTCTAAATTTTTATTTCTTAATTCTATTTTGTGTATTTTTGTACTGCCTTGTCCATGCTGTAACGTCTAAATTTCCCCTCGAGGATACAATAAAGTCTTATCTTCATAAACTAAAAGTAATGCAATAAATGTAAAAACTGTGAATTATTAACTATGAACTATTAATTTTATCATGGAATTATGCGCACGCACACACACACACACACACACATTAGGTTAATGCAATCAGCTAACCCAACCTCTACCCCTAAACATACTCATCACAGAAACATACGCAGAGCACTAGATTTAAATCAAAACATCTTTTGGCTGATTTTCCTCACTAGTGGGTTGGCAAAGTCCTCAAAGTATGGTCCTCAAAAGTATAGTTAAAACAACTACACACATGCACATGCAAACGCACCTAAAACAATTCGGAAGATCAGTTTTTCCTTCAGTGGATCAAATGGTCGTCCATCATAGTTGATTGTCACTGTAAAGGCCTGTCCTCTCCGCAGAACCAGAGTGCTGGAACTCAGACCGTCGGTCTTGTGGCGGGTCTGGTTTTGCACCTGTTGCAGGTTGATAGTTTGAACCTTGATCTCTATGTAAAAATTAGCAAATGTGATATTATTTCTCATTATTTTGATAGATAATATGCATAATTGTACCACTAAAAATATTTATGTTTAAAATTGCAGTTAATTAATAATTTATGATTAACTATTATAAATAATTTTCTTAAAATTAAAGCACAGTTTATATTATATAAAAGACAATAAAAAGTTGATCACAAAAAAAATTAAAGCACAGTCAAATAATATGACATCAAAAAAAAAGATTACATGCAGTAGTAAAGATTATTGCAATTATTGCAAAGATTATTCTTCATAAAGCCATAAATAGCAAAATAACTCAAATAGTATGTTTTTTTTTTTGTAAAAGGTTTAACAAAATGCCTTGCTAATAAACCAGTAAAAATTATAATATTAAAAACATAAAGCTTACCGTCCATGATATGCAACTGTGATGTGGTTTGCTTGTATATTTTGATTCGCAGTTTATTGCGCTTTTATACAGCATTCATCTGCCTCGCCCTTTCCACTGAAGTTACCAGACCCAATTCTCATGAAGTCAATACATGTCAAATTTTACAATCAGTAGAACCAACACCTCAAACAATTACACAATTACACAATCGCACACGCATGAGCGCTGTGTGTGTGTGTGTGTTTCAGCGGGTGGATTCAGTATGTGCAGCATGATGATGCATAAGTATTCACAGCCTTTGCTCAATACTTTGTTGAAGCACCTTTGGCACCGATTACAGCCTCAAGTCTTTTTGAGTATGATGCTACAAGCTCAGCACACCTATTTTTGGGCAGTTTCTCCCATTCTTCTTTGCAGGACCTCTCAAGCTCCATCAGGTTGGATGGGGAGTGCTGGTGCACAGCCATTTTCAGATCTCTCCAGAGAGGTTAAATCGGGTTCAAGTCTGGACTTTGGCTGGGCCACTCAAGGACATTGAGGTAACAGTTTATACAATATTGTCAATAAAACATTGGCACAATGTTTCAAGATAACAAAGGAAGAACATTCTCTCAGCCACATTAGGAGAATGTTATATGGATATTATTGAGGCCTGAGATAACAAAAGGTTCTTTATTAAAATTTCTTGTAATGTGACATGTTAACAAAGCTGGAACATTTTATCTGCAACATTTTGAGGATGTTTTTCGAGATAACAGATTGTACAATGTTTCAAGATATCAAAGGAAGAACATTCTCTCAGCCACATTAGGAGAATGTTATAAGAACATCACTGAGGCTTGAGATGGTGTAATGTTTTTTATAAAACGTTTTTGGAATGTTCTTGTGTTTACAAAGCTACACTCTAAAAAAAAGATGGTTCTTTAAAGGTTCTTTACACAAACAGCTCTTTTTAGAACTGTATCCTCCTGAAGCACCTTTTATATGCTGAGACGGTTCTTTGCTTTAGAGTTTAGGGTTCTTTTTTCCCGCCTTTTTGTTTTTCAAATCTGTACTTGTCAGTACTTGGTTTTCTGGAGCTCAAGACAGACTTTCAACACACTCTTTAAGATTCCAAGATTGATTTTTTTCTGGAAATTATAACAGTGCACTCTAAAAAATGCTGGGTTAAATACAACCCAGTGCTGGGTTAAATATGGACAAACCCAGCAATTGAGCTGTTTTGACCCAGCGGTTGGGTTAAATGTTTAACCCAACCTTCTGGGTAGTAACCCACCCGCTGGGTCAAAACAACCCAATTGCTGGGTTTGTCCCTATTTTACCCAGCACTGGGTTGTATTTAACCCAGCATTTTTTAGAGTGTGTGACACTTTCTAAACATTATTCTGTTTATTTGAGCATTCCAACCAGCCTGACACATTGTATCAACCAATGGTGTGTGTTTGGAGGCGGGGCTATATGTTTGCTGACCAATGGCAAACCAGTATTTGGGAAAATCTGTTTGAAAAAAGTAATTTGTGTGATTCATTTGTTGATGCTCAGAAAAGAGCTTTAAAGACTAAAACGACACACTTTACGCACCTCATTTGAGCTTTCTCCTCCAAGAGTCCTGAACCGGATACGGTATAATGCATTATATGTTTTCTTAAATACTTAGTTATAACCACAATTAAAAAGCTTTATATTTTCTCAAGGTGTAACAATGACTAGATAAGTATTATAATATTTTATATCTGTGGTTACAGTTATTCATGAGATCATGCAATGCATCATAAGGTGCATTGCAAAACATAATTAATGCATTAAAATACTTTTATAATGCATTATAGATAAAGGCTTCAAGTTAATTCTCCAACATAATATCTATGATCTTGGAGTGATGCAGGTATTTACTGTGTAGATAATAAAAAACATCTGAAAATGGTTTAAATTTGTCACAAAAAAATTCTTGTTTCTTACATAAAGGGGGTCAAGCGTAGAAGAGTTCATGTTTCTTTTAAAGCTAGTATAAATGTCCATGTTGGGCCAGCATATACCTGTATATTGAGGGAAGGGCTGCGGATGTTGAACTCCTCTGAAGCCAGCACTCTCTCCTGAGACTTCACATCCTCAATAACCACAGCCAGGTTAACCAGAGAATCCTCCGCAGCCTCCGTCAGCACGTCCAGTCATCATCGTAAAAAGTAAGTTTTTTTTTAAAATTTGAATTTAAATTTCTGTAAATATTTTTGGCAGTCTGATGAAAGAAATAGTAAAATATTGTGATTAACTTGGGTGCACTGCATTTCGGGGTTTTGGCCTGTTTTGCCATAAGATAAAGACTGTACATTTTAATCATGTATATCTACTGAAAGCAACATTTGTCAGCATACAATAGTAAATACATGTTAGCATCAGTTTAGATTTTATGGATTTAAATCCATTCATTTGAACCCAAAATCATCAGTCTGTCACTTTTTTAAATTATGTTTTGCTACTTTTTAAGGCTTTATTTTTTAAATAGCAAAATTTGTCTGGCTGCACTGATTAAAAAATGTTTTCTTCCAAACCAACATTAGAGAATCGTGATCAGATGGATTGTAATGCTGCCTGAAAAAACTAATCGTGATATTTCTGCCATTTCATTTACCCCTACAGCAGAATAAATGTGTAAAACACTTACAGGTTGTGATTTTTTATTTTTTGGTTATAAATACATTTGAAACTAATTTTAAGCAATTTTGGCAGGATTCTTAAGTACTTTCATTTCTGGCCCATCTTCACGTCGTCATGAGCTGAACACACAAGCTGGGTTTTTTGGCTTGGGAGCTGAACACGCAGCAGCCAGAAATACAGCTTGGGTGAGCCCGAAATAAAATTAACAATTAAAAAAATATATATATATATGAATAGAGGCTGGACTATCATCCATGTATGATTAGAAACAGTTGGTGGCGGTATGTGCATATGGTGCGGAATACGCCAAAAAATTCCAAAGAAGAAGAAAAAAAAGAACGACACATCACTAGAGTCCTGTGAGGATGGACACACGGCGAATCCTGCGACTCTTGACCCACGCTACAGTTCTGAGTCACGTGACGAGAGTGAAGCGAAATGACTGGTCCAAAAGCGCAAGAGAACTTTTGTTAAAGGGGTCATATGATGCAATTTCAAGTTTTCCTTTCTAATGTTGTACAAAAATTGTATTTCTTATTTTTATTCGTCTTGTCAGGATACAATTCGTTTAACATTGACAACACAATAGGGGAAAAGTGTTGCAAAGAGAGAAAAAAATAAAAATATAGGTTGTACAAAAATAGCCTGGCTATTAGCTATTTTTATTTGTGTTGTCAAACACTAAATTCGTTTGACATTTTTCTGTTAACACAGTAGGAAAAGTTTCGCAGAGAAAAATAAATAAATATGACATCTTTCATTTAAAATTATAGGCTAAGCAAAATATAAACAAAAAAGAGTTGAAAGTCCTTCAAGGACAGTGCATCCACACTTTGCTCCATCCTTATTCTGCTCTGTTCTGTGTGAGGGCCGTATATTTACCACAGGTACAGCCTGCTCTGAGTATCGTTATGCACATGCTGCGCACAGACCACGCAAATAAAACGTGTGACGTTTAAAGCATGCGTGCAGTGCGTGCATAACAGTCCTGAGCGCAAGCTGTATCGGTGGTCAATAAGAATAAAGCGCAGATATGCTGTTCTAAATGGACGTCGGGAACGGGATATTGTTAGACCGCACGCTCCCGTTCAAATTACACCAGAGTTACCGACCGATGCTGCGTTTTATTCGGGAATTTAATCCTGCGGCACAAAAAATCCAGTCGGTTCCCGCGGGAATGCAGACCTCTACTAGCATGCTAACAGGCTAACACAGTTAATATGTGGCTGTAGATTCGGATAAAAACTTCAGAAAAACTCAAATGAGCTCGTGTGATCAAATGCAATGTATTTACGTTTATATGAGTCTGAATATGGTTGTTGAACGACGGAGTTAAAAGCGTTCGTACACATAACTTTACACACGAATTGTCATATTTGACATTCAAACGGGTTTAATTCTGTTTAAAAGGTGTTTTTACTGATCCGCTGAACATTTGCTGTATACTTTTCCTTGTCTTTGTGCACGTTTGTAATTTTAGTTTTTTGTTTTTCAATTTAGGAAGTAATATGAAAGGCTTACAATTTTCATTATCACAGTATCGGTTACAGTAAACAAATACAGGTAATGTTACAGTAAACAAAACAGTTACAGTAAACAAATACAGGTAACGTTACAGTAAACAAAAATGGCTTCATTTGGATCCTGGCGGACTGGTTTATTTAAACTTGTTTGTTTGATTTTTTTACAGTAAAAGTAGCTTATATAAACACATCTATGTTGGTTGACCTGTTGCACATTAACAAAGGTGTAAGTTCCTCCAAATGTTTATTATTGTTTGTTTGTTATTAATGATCGGTTTACGTGTTTTATTTAGCTCTCAGTTCACTGTAAGTTCAGTGGAAAATCAAGTAAATGGTTGCTCTCGGTATGAAATGACATGTTAATAACAGGACTGAAGGAAGGTGTGTGTAGTCTGCAGATTGAAGCTTTTTTTTTGTTGTTGAAACAATTAACAATAACTAACACATTTTATATTCTACTGTGTGATGTTGTTATTCCCTGTAAAATTGCCATGCTGAAGTATTATGCAATATTTAATCACACTAACGGGTGGGTTTTTGTGTGTGTGGTCCATTTGTGAATAGCAGTGATGGATTGCAATTTTTTAGTAAGAGAAAATATGGACTATGTTTACTGCACAATATACACTGTATACTGTCTACTGTTTTTATTAAATAATATGAGATGTGGTATATAAAACCTTTTAAATAGCAGTATGCTACTTTGTTTTCACATGACTTCACTGCAGTGCATTTTTAATTCAGCAAGTGACGTCTAGTCTAGAAAATAAAAAGGTTCATTGTTAACCTAATTTTGGTTTAACATCTTGCCTAATCAAATAAGGTGTTTGGGACATTATTTTGGAAATTTATCAGCACTTTACCTGTGTACATGTGCAAGTACAAACAAGTCCATGTCAGTTTGAGGATGTGGTGTCGTGAAGTCAGTTTAGCAGTGATATCAAGCTTCTGTTTTGCTTAACAATATTGTTTACAATACAATACTATGCACTATCATTTACTATTACTGTTATTTGCTAAATGGTGTTTGGTATGTGTTTTGATGTTATTTTTTTATATTGGTTTAGACAGAATGGAAATTAAAAACATTTGGCATCAAATTGCAAACTAATGCAGTACTAAAATTTATTATTAAGCAAATGTCCGCAATTAAATTGCATTCAATTTGCAGAGGCATATTTTGGCATTACGCAAAAAGATTAATTGCATATAAAAAATGGTAAAATACACAATTTTGCCCCCAACTCTGCGCTAAACTCTTGCGCCAAAATATTGCAGAGTTTGATTGAACTTTGAATTTAACAGCAGAGGGATATGGGACATGTTTTCTCCTCCGTGTTGTTGGTAAGCCTAATTATTTTGCGATCCTAAATGCATGATTGTATGAGTAAGTAGAATTTTTTTATTGGCATTTAGAACTGAATGTTTGTTTTTTTCCTTCTGTCACTATCAGAAAAGACTTATCAGTTAAATCTCTGCCATCAAATGTGACATCGACCACAATGGCAGCATCATAACACCTGTCCTCGAGTAGTTTCACTCAGTTCGTAGCCCAAGGGGAAGCTCCCATGATGATGATGGAGCATCTCTTTACGTCATATTGTGTGAATGGGTGTAAATAACAGGAAATCCCATCTATCAACTAATATGCCACTATACATGCAATAATGAAACAAATTCAGTGGAAAACCAAGCTCACATGCTAAATTAATACCTTCTGCTGTGACCTACATACATGCAAACACTTTGATTAATAAACAAGTCCTGTGCTTGTCTGTTGCTGAAAGCAGAAAATGTAGAAACAGCCTGGGCAATACTGCAAGAGCAGAGGCGGACAAAGTACTCAACTCCATTACTTGAGTAAAAGTACAGACAGTGCTGGTCAAATATTACTCCATTACAAGTAAAAGTTGTAAAGACAGATTTTTACTCAAGTAAAAGTACAGAAGTACTTGCTTTTAAAAGTACTTAAGTACCAAAAGTAAATTTCCTTTTTTATGTCAATGCACTGTTTTATTGTTGTACGTAATACTTATGTCATACACAGAATGGTCTGTGCAGTGCTGCTTCAGTCAAACACCTTTTGTGTTTTATTAGGAGACGCACAACAGTTCTTCTGTGGCTTTATAGGTAATATTCTCACGTACACAATTTAGCAAAATTAGACAATGTTGTGTCTAATATATACCACAATATTCATTTCTTATTATTGAATTGTTGTAAATAAATATCACATTTGCAACTGGTCAGTGTTCAAAAAATGCTGGGAAATCATTTAATGTAGTCCTACAAGAGATTACTGATAAACTGTCTGAAAAAAAAACAAAGTCACGTTTTAGAGAAGAAAAAAACCACTGACTTTCAAAGCTGCTACAGTAACGACTTTCTACTTCGAGGACCTTGATAGAAATGTAGTGGAGTGAAAAGTACAATATTTGTCTTTCAAATGTAGTGAAGTTAAAGTCATAAGTTCCCAGAAAAAATAATACTCAAGTAAAGTACAGATACTCAAAAAGTGTACTTAAGTACAATACTCAAGTAAATGTACTTAGTTACTGTCCGCCTCTGTGCAAGAGTATACCATAAAACAAGATCCTTTTAATGTGAATTGATCACAGGCTTAATTTGTTTAATCGCTCCATGTTTTTGGCTTGAAACGAGTCCTGTTATGAGCTGGAACTGTGTTCAGTCACGCTACGAATGCAACACGCCGCCTGCATTCAGCGCTGTGGAAACAGAGAACATTTTGGACACAATCACTGCAGTTTTTTTTCAAATTTCAGTTCACACTTTCTAATTAACCATATGCCATGAAAAATATCTCAATGATGATATCATTGTGTAGGAGCTTCACCAGAGAGTGAATCAAGCACCAAATGAATGTTGCACTTCAGGGACTCGCAGCTGTTGCATAACTCTTTTACACAACTTGTTACATGACTTATAGGACTGCCAGTAATTAGTGAAGACGTGCTTTACAGTTTAGTAGTTTTT